TAATCAGCTCAGTGGTGGGGCCACTTTTAAACCACCACAAGGCTAACAGCTCCCCTCCGATATTCCTGAGTTATCACTTACTAAAATCTATCTTCCATCTTTGCTGCCCTAATCAGGGCTTCCCCTGGGGCCACTCTTCTCTGCCTCTTCCATGATTGCTATGCTCTTCTGTGCCTCTCAGGCCTGCTTCTTACTCCTTACTCCTCTCCTGGCATGGCGGTTCTAAATCCTTCTTCCTCTCTCAGTCCCCTTGCCCCAATCCTAAAGTCACATCTTTGTCTCCCTGCCCTCCCATTGGCCGCTGGCAACTTTATTTACCAGTCAGAACCACCTGGAGGCAGGGACCCTGAGCATCTTACAGGTGGATTCTCCTGAAATTGGGAACCCAATTAACATAGTGCAAGCCTTAGACCACATCTACAACACGTTTCCACGTCACTGTGCGTGTTCTCCCTTCGTACCCTGTGTCATCTTTATGTAGCTTTGTGTGTCTGTTCCAGCTGTCAGTGGCTCTTTGCTTTATAGAAAAGACAAATAGAGCAAGGAAAGGCATAGGCCACATGGGTTGCTGTAGTAAGCTCCATTATATAGCTGCTGGAGAGGGAGCTACCAACCTTGTCCAGGCTGGCTTTTAAACCGAAGGGTTGAAGAAGGAGGCCAGCAGGTGAGGCAGTGTGCCTTATAACCAAATGACTTAATGTATTCACCTGCCTAAGTCTGTAGCAGTCAGGGGAACACCATCTGAACAGCTTTCAAATGTGTAATACCATCTGAACAGCTTTCAAATGTGGAACAGCCTCGCACACTGACCACCATCCTCACAACCTTCCCCCACTTTATCCTCTGTGGCACAGGCCTTATAGGAAGTGTCGCTGGCCTGCCTACAGGTGGGGCCCTCTCCATCATGGCTCTGCCCTTATTACTGTCTATTTCAAATCTTTTCTTCTCATGACATCAGTCAGGAGTGATGGAAGCCAATCAGCTTTTGAGGGAGTGTCTATTCAGTTGGATTAAAATGAATATTACTGCTTCATTTAACTCCTATTTGTAAATAAAGATCTGCTGGCTGGCTGCTGATCCCATAAGGTCTCCTGGAAAAGCAACAGCTTCAAAAAAGACGGAAAAAACAGGACACATTAATTTTCTTTCTCATCGTACACTTTTCTCCATTTGTTCTAAAGTCAAGGGGCTTCTTCCCCTTTCTAGATACAAGTTATATGAAGATAAAACTCTCTATCATTCTCTAGAACTATCTTTTCTCTAGAACTTTCTTTGTTCATTAGAATAAGGTATTATTTCTATAACTCACAAGAACATATTCTGATCATGGTTTTCCCTACTTAGATCCTTCTTAGACCCTCCCCACCTCCTCCTACCCAAGAAAGGAGACAACCTTTTGTTCTCTTTTTAGAAAAAAACAAAAACCCAAAAACCCAAACAAACAATAATATAAGAGGAACAGAAAAGCACAAGAAACATGCCCCTCTTAAACCTTGGTGTTAGCACCTGGCGTGGTGCCTTCTTTATGGTTGCTGCCCAGTAAGTGGTACCTGAGATGGTAACCAGCTCTCTGGAGCCACCTGCCCTCACTGTGTCTTTTCTCAGGACCAGTGTTGTAGATGGGGTATTGCATCCAGCTCACATTTAACAAAAGTGGTATTGCTGTTCTTTAAGATTCAAGTCAGTCCTTCCTCTCCCTCACAGTGGCTTTCTCTAATCCATAATGGCTTCCTTCACTGGATAGCTAGCATGTTTAAAGAAGGCTTTATTTGTTTGCTGTCTGATACCTTTTTATTATTTAACTTGCTGAGTACTGCACTTTGAGCTATATATCTTATATTCCTTAGTGCAGTTAATGTAAATTACATACAGATAGCATACAGATATCAATGCACACAGCATTCTCATGTATGCACTTAGTGGATGATTTTTAAACTAATATCTTAACTTGAACCAGTAGGTAAACTTATATTTTTGGGCCATGGATACTGTCACTATTGTTTTTTTTTTTCAAGTTACAACCTTATATAGACATTTTTAAAAGAGAAGGTTTTATTTTTTTATTTGTACATATAATTTTTTCCACTTTCAGGAAAGAATACTGATTTTCCGAGGAGTTCATGTGATTCTAATCTGGTAGTAAAGTCAGATTGAAAAATTACTTTTCTGTTCTCGTTCTCTCTCTCTCTCTCTCTCTCTCTCTCTCTCTCTCTCTCTCTCTCT